CTATTTTGAGACTTTCCTTGCTTTGTTGCCCCATATTTCTCTTACTTTCAGTATTTTCAGGAGAAAAAGTATGTATAAAGCATCACATTATCACTCATCGGATAAAGAGTGCTCCAGAACACCACAAACATTACCGAAGAAATAGCACATCTTTTGCTACTGGAAGCCAAAAACCAGCCTATCCACTCTTTAGATTGGATAGTCAACCGAATCTGCTCAATATTGGCTCAGTGCCTTTTCTCGACAAGAAACCTGGCCCGTAAGTTCTTGATGGAGCTCGCTGTTTTTTGAAATTTGTCTCTTCCAAAGTACTAAAATTGAATTCAGACGTGAGATTATGTTTGATGGAGCTGCTGCACGAGCGGCGATTCATGAAAGTGGAGATTGTCATGCGCCACATCTGCGCAAAGTTGGAGGAGGAAAACGGGGAAGACCTATTGTTATAGGAAGAGCCATCTATGGTCGAGGCAGAATACATTTTCGACCTGCGACGACGCATCATTTGACCCCTAGAAGAACTGAGGTACGACATCTGTTATTAATATTAATGACGCAGTCGATTTTTACCCTTGCTTAACTACAGGCTGGGCCTGCTAATGAAGTGCATACAACTGTTCCTGAACGTCACGATGCTGCAACTACGACAGAACATGAACGCGCAGTACAGACTGAAGCACAACAATCAGGAGAAGATCGTGTTCCCAAAGATGAGATAGAGGAGTTAGAAGAAGAGGATACAGAGTCTACCTTCACACCAGACTCTGTCAAGCCTCATTCGCAGCACAGTAAACGTGTGCCTCCTAAGAAAATGCCCTTTGTTGGGTCAGGACAAAAGGTGGACATAGAGAGCAAAGAGATTTCAATGTAATTTTTTGACCTTGCATATTTAGGGTAACAACACCTTCTCAATAGCTGGTAATCAACAGCAAGTTATGAAAATTATAGGGACGAGATTTCAAGAATGGCTACCTTTGGGTAAGCTCATTCAATCTTGTTATCAAAATTGGTTTCATCAAATTTTTCCTTTTTTAGTTCGGAGTATAATTTTTGATGCTTACTGCAAAGACTATGCGAAAGCCCTCTACAGAGACTTAGCCAGGCAAAAACGATCTCATATGGAGCAGATGCGATTACTGGAAAAGTAATTTGTTTTCGTAATTGTAC